CTCAAACTGAATGACTCTCAGCTGAACTGTGCTGCTCAAAAGCCTAAAAGCTTAACCAGCCTCTAGTTCCTGGTCCTCACACCTTAAATACCTTTCTGCTTTCTGCCATCACTTCTTGGAATTAAAGGTGTGAGTAACCATGCCTGACTGTTTCCAATGTGGCCTTGAACTCACAGAGATCCAGACAGACTTCTGCCTCTGGAATGCTAGGATTAAAGGCGTGTGCTACCACTGCCTAACCTCCATGTTTAATATTGTGGCTGTTCTGTCTCTGACCCCAGATAAGTTTATTAGAGTGCACAATATTTTGGGGAACACAATACCACCACAAACGTGTACTATGACATCTTCAACATCAAGCTGTTTACTCTCCCTACACAGTTAAGTAATGACTGGGCAGGTAGGTACTTTCTGGCATCAGTTATTTAGGAAAGAAAAAGGTACCAAAGGCTTTTCCCTAATCTGACACCAAACAGATATGTGTATCTTTGACTAAAGCATTTACTACAGCTTATTTACCAGTTTACTCTTCAAATACATCTTAATGGCATATTCTGCACAAGGGAATGCTGTACAACTTATTGCATTCTACATTTGTAAGAAAAGCAAGGGTATTTTACTTTTAATACTTTTCTAAAAATGGCATGGCTACTTTTTGTGGGTGTTTTTTTTTTGGGGGGGGTGCCTTTAAAAGAGACTCCTTCCCCTCGTTTCATAAAATAGATAACTAAGTCTCTAACTAGATAATTTAAAAGATATTATGGTCCCAAGCAAGAAGAGGAGCATCCCCAAGATTCTTCTGACAACCCTTTTGGAGCTCTTTTTACCATTTCAAATATCTGTCAATTTTGGCATGATTAAAAAGCACATCTCCATTTCTTCCTAAAACTGACTTCACATTGTAAATGGGCCACTCCACTAAATAACCAGTGAGCTGAACACGTATCTTCAAACAGCTCTATGTCAAATCCACTGTTTAGTTTGGAAACATTTTTCAAGTACCACAAAGAAAACATCCAGACAGAAGGACAATGGATTAGCAGTAAATACAGCTTGAGTCAACATTTTGCCTAAGAGCTTAGAATAAGCTCAAGACATTTATAAAAATAACTTTAAATTGTATTTGCTAGTATGAAATAAATCAAATTAGACTAGGTA